GACACATAACATACAAACATTATACAGACACATAACATACAAACATTATACAAACACATAACATACAAACATTATACAGACACATAACATACAAACATTATACAGACACATAACATTCCTGTTCAACATCATGTTCATGGTCATGTTATGGTTAACTTCATGTTCCTGGTTAACTTCATGTTCCTGGTTAACTTCATGTTCCTGGTTAACTTCATGTTCCTGGTTAACTTCATGTTCCTGGTTAACTTCATGTTCATGGTTAACTTCATGTTCCTGGTTAACTTCATGTTCATGGTATTTTTAAAGCTATTCAGAATAACGTCTGGTTAACCCAAACTAGTCTTGGACAACTCACTCTATATCCTTATTGTGTTACAAATCTATAACATTTGATAGACTTTTGGGAAACCCTTCTACTTTAATAATCAGCAAAAAAAGTTAAGAAGAAAAATGCCAAAACAAAAATGCATTATTATGTGATAAGTTATTCATTTTTGAAAATGCCCTTGACAGAACAAATTTAAGACTTTTCTAAGAGCTATAAAATGTAGAACTCCAATGACCAGCTAATGGTAAAATAAACTCGTTTTTTTGTTTATCTATATATGTTTATGCATAATGTCGTCCTTGACGAGATTATAAGCCAAGCAAAGACAAACAAGAAAACGGTTCATGGTCAAGCAGAAATGCCTGAGTGTGATGACCAAGCTTCCAAACATCAATGCTGTAAAAAAATGAAAACAACTGTCAGTGAAAAAGTATATTTTGTAAATGAAACTTTATGGAGAGAACATACAGAAACACTCATAAAACAAGGACATTTTCTCTGCCTGGCAATGCTTGAAAATCTGACATAGTCTGGAAATCTTACATTAAATAGTCAGGTCCATTCTCTTCAACCAAAGGAAGAGACAAGCCCTTGGTTCCATTATTTTTTTCAGATACTTTCTCTGGTTCAAGTGTGGTTAAATCTTGTTTCTCTTCCCTTGGTTTAATTGTTTTACATGTACATTCTCTAACACTTTTCTTCCTGGTTAGCAGAGGTTTAAGCAAGTCAATAAGTTTCTGGATACCTGATTTAAAATTTTATCTCACTTATTTTGTTTTTATATTTAATTATAATTATAGATATCCCACACTATACATACATACAACCTTCTAGTAAGTATCTACAGTACTTTCAAAATATTGTGAGAAATAAATTACCATTGCCATCAACTTCTTCACTATCATGGTCTGCTTCTTTGATATCTTCCCAACTTGACCCCACTTCACCCCTTTAAGGAATGTAATCAAGATTTAGGTTTTGAAAGTCTGTTGGTTGACTCGGAAAAAAGGCCAGAAATAGAATTTAAAGAATTTGAGCTGTGTTGCTGAACTACCTACCATCGGTTTAAATTTGAACCACCGATTAAAATCGATTCAAATCCTTCCATAGTCTTTAAATTTGCATCATTGGTTCAAATTTAAACCGGATGTAGGTAGTTCAGCAACTCAGCTCAAATTCTTTAAATTAAGTCTTAGTTAATTTTAGTAACTGTAACCCATGTAATTAGTTTAAATATATCACAAATCTAATGTCATATTGTAATGTAAAATTTAAAAAAAAAATTAATTACCATTCTGAAGACTCATTATCTTGAATCTTCCCAGCAGCAGAGCTAGTAATGAGCTGAAAGAGTTCTATGTCATAAAAACAAACTTATATATTTTTAAGTATTATTATTCATTTTTCCCATAGACTAGTCACTAAAACTACATAAAGCTAATAGCTATTGTGCTTTTTCTGCTTATAATCTAAATATACAAGAATTTTAGGACAATTTGCGCCAATTTTCTATTTTAACTTTTAATTCTGACTCTATCTGCAAAAGCTTAAACAGACCTGTAAGAGGAGCTATCACATTTTAAAATCTAAAACTGAAGAGTGAAGAACATAAAAAAATTAGTTTGATGCTTTTTTCTGCTAGTTTTGTTTGAAGGAGATAAAGCAGTACTTGATAGGAAATTGGACTGTATGTGTTTAGGCTTGTCAATCGTTTTTATAAACAATCTTCAAATATTTGTTTTTGGTTTCGTTTTTGGATTGTTTTCAAAAGCAATTGTTTCTTTTACGGAAAAAAATGATCGTTTTTAAAAACGACCCACTCGTTTAAGACAATCGTTTTTATAAAAATGATTAGGGACTGTTTTTTTTATACGATTGTTTTTTTTAAAACGATGGCTTTTATAAAAACGATCTTTAATGAAGGGTTGTCGTTAACAATCGTTTACAAAACGACGAACTTTATAAAAAAGGTCGTTTTTGGAAAAAGTTAAACATTTGTGGGGGAGCTAAAACTTCTTGATATTTTCTCAATGATAAGCACAGATGCCCTTTAGGTCAGTTTTTTCTATTTGTGAACGATCTTTAACAAAGGATCCTCATTAACGATCGTTATTAAAGGGTCGTTGTTAACGATCGTTAATGAAGGGTCGTCGATAATGCTTGTTAACAAAGGTTTGTCGTGAAGGAATGTTAACGAAAGGTTATCATGTTAATGATCCTTAACAAAATTACAACATTTATTAAAACAATCTTATTGAAAAACAATCGTTTTTAAAAATGATCGTTTCATTTTCGATTTTTCGTTGTCGTTTTCATAACAACACGATCGTTTTTAAAAATAATGAACACATTAACATCCCTATATGTGTACCTTTAAAGCCAAATATTTTGAATTTACAGTTCAAATTTTGCCCCCCTAGGAGCTTCTAGGGGGGGGGAACCTAATTAGTCCCCTTCCCTTTCTGTATACGCCCTTGTCTATCTGTGAGCATCTTCTCTTTGTACAATAAAAACAAAAAACAATTCGATCATTTTCAAAATTTAACAAAAATCAAAAAAATGTTAAAACACATTTTTGTAATTTTAAGCATTCATCGGTTTAGAGTTGTTATGATGTTTATTTGATACAAATGGACAGACAAACAGACAAACAAACAGACACCCAGACAAGCAAAGTATAAATATAGATAGAATATGATACTTTGCTTGTCTGTCTGGGTGTCTGTGTGTTTTTAATTATCTTTTTGTATCCCATAAACATCAAAGCGGCTGAACCGATTGGGTCCAAATTTTGTGTTGGACCTCACCTGACCCCTGATAGTTATAAAACTAATATTTGAACCCAATCTTTAACTATCTACTAATTGATTAAAAAGTATAAAATAGATAAATAATGATTTGGAAACCTACCAAAATGACGAGAAGCATATGTGTGGCTGTATTGTAGCAAGGATTAGACTTCAATGCACTGGAATACTACTTCTTACTTGTTCTTAAATAAGATAGTAAATTCATAAAATGTTTATAATGATCAGTAAAAAGTTTTAATTGTTGGTTGGGAGACTATTAAAATTAGAGAAAATATTTAGATTTTAAAGAGATTTAAAGGCACTGTAGGCGAAACTTCACAAGTTTAACGTTCGTCACAAGTCAAAATCAATCCAAAAAACCTCTTTCAAAGTTTTGATTTAAATCCTAAAGGGGGGGGGGGGCAGAGCTACCATCATCCTCTCATTTCAACATCTGAACCACCGAATTGCAGAATGACATCCGAACCCCAAGTTTCCAAAAGGAGATGGCTTGGCAAATATATAATAATAAAAAATTTCATTTTTAAAACCTTGGAATAGAATTTTAGAATTAATTAAAACATTAGTTTCTAATGTTTTAAGTCACTGATTGGATTATAACTATGGCTTTAGTGGTTTATTACATTGGGATACATTGGTTAAATAGAGGGATACTGGAGGGATACATTGGTTAAATAGATGGGATACAGTGGTTTAATACAGGGATACTGGAGGGATACATTTGTTAAATAGGTGGGATACAGGTGGAATACAGGGGTTTAATAGAGGGATACTGGAAGGATACATTGGTTAAATAGATGGGATACAGTGGTTTAATACAGGGATACTGGAGGGATACATTCGTTAACAGGTGGAATACAGTGGTTTAATACAAGGGGATAAATGTAGAAAATTCTAAAATATCAAATGATTTAAAACCTTGAAGCTACAGTACAGAAAAGTTTCTTCAAAATTTTATTATAACAGTTTTTTTTCTTTCAAAATTCGGATGTTAATAGGTGAGGTTGTATATTTTCCCTCAAATCTTGGGGTTCAGATGTTAAAATGCGGGGTTGAAGGCGGCTCTGCACCCCCACCCTCATTTAAACATCAAACAATATTTACTAGATCTACATATGTATAGGTTGTATCGGATATCAAACATTTCAATCATGCTTTTTTAAGGATTTTAACTAAATATTTATATGTTTACAGTGAATTAAGTGCAAGTAATAATATACTTAATTGATTAATAGAATAATTAATTGTTTAATAGATTAATTGATTTGGTCAGAAAAAAGATTGCTTATTGCACTGAAAGCAAAATTGCAGAATTAACAAAAAATCTAGAGGGGAGGGGGGTCGTCAAACCCCGCCCTCCAGCCTGTTTAGGGTTAAAAAACAAAGGTCTGCACAAGGAAGTTGCAAGGATATACGCCTAAGAAAAAAAGAGATTGTGTGGACAAGTACAGCTAAGGCTGGGCACGTTCCTAATCCCCATCCCTTTCTATCCCAACCCTCCCCATCCCACCCCTCCCCATCCCATCCTTTACCTTCCCCACCCCATCCCAACCCATCCCATCCCTTCCCATATCATCCTTCTCTTTTCTCCCTTCCCTTCCCTTCAGTGAAAGCCTTGTTGGGGAAAAAATATGCAATTTTTCCCCTAGATGGCAATGTCATGTTTTCACCCTTTTAAAAGGTAGAATATTATAGTGCAAATTCATGATGAAAAAAAGTAAACATTTAAAAAACATCTGAGAAATGTATAAGACTGAGCAACAAAACGCTCCATTTTACAAATTAAATACAAAAAATTTCTGTATGGCATAGGAAGGGATGGGATGGGGAGGGATGAGATGGGGAACAGAGAGAAGGAAAGGGAAGTGATGAGATAGGATGGTGATTGGGAGGAATGAAATGGGAAAGGATGGGATGGGATGGGGAGGGATGGGGTGAGACGGGTAGGGATGGGATGGATAAGGTTGGGCAAACGGTGTTTTTATACTTACGGGGGGGGGGGGGTCCCCCTACCCTCCAGCAGGAATAGGGTTAAATATGTTTACACCGACCAGCCTTTTTTTTTACAGTCCTGAATTACAAAAATTGCAAAAATCCTTTAAAATATTATTCCTTAACCCTTTCACGTTTGGGAGGGGGGATTCTACCCTATGCATTACAAAAATTGCAAAAAATTCTTTAAAAATACTATTCCTTAACCCTATCACCACTTTTGTATTTTCCCTCTAGTTTCCCACTATTTCCCACTAGTTTCCCACTAGTTCCCTCTAGTTCCCACTAGTTTCTCACTATTTCCCACTTGTTACCACTAGTTTCCCACTATTTCCCACTTGTTACCACTAGTTTCCCACTAGTTCCCACAAGTTTCCACTAGTTTCCAACTATTTCCCACTTGTTACCACTAGTTTCCCACTATTTCCCACTTGTTACCACTAGTTTCCCACTAGTTCCCACAAGTTTCCACTAGTTTCCAACTATTTCCCACTTGTTACCACTAGTTTCCCACTAGTTCCCACTAGTTCCCACTTGTTACCACTAGTTTCCCACTAGTTCCCACTAGTTCCCGCTAGTTTCCCACTATTTCCCACTTGTTACCACTAGTTTCCCACTTTTTCCCACTTGCTCCCACTAGTTTCCCACTAGTTCCCACTAGTTTCCACTAGATTCCCACTATTTCCCACTTGGTACCACTAGTTTCCCACTATTTCCCACTAGTTTCCACTAGTTTTCCACTATTTTCCACTTGTTACAACTAGTTTCCCACTAGTTCCCACTAGTTTTCACTAGTTCCCACTAGTTTTCACTAGTTACCACTATTTCCCACTTGTTACCACTAGTTTCCCACTATTTCCCACTAGTTTCCCACTAGTTTCCCACTAGTTTCCCACTAGTTCCCACTAGTTACCACTAGTTTCTCACTATTTCCAACTTGTTACCACTAGTTTCCCACATTTCCCACTTGTTACCACTAGTTTCCCACTAGTTCCCACAAGTTTCCACTAGTTTCCGACTATTTTCCACTTGTTACCCACTAGTTTCCCACTAGTTCCCACTAGTTCCCACTTGTTACCACTAGTTTCCCACTAGTTCCCACTAGTTCCCACTCGTTTCCCACTATTTCCCACTTGTTACCACTAGTTTCCCACTATTTCCCACTTGTTCCCACTAGTTTCCCACTAGTTCCCACTAGTTTCCACTAGTTTCCCACTATTTCCCACTTGTTACCACTAGTTTCCCACTATTTCCCACTAGTTTCCACTAGTTTTCCACTATTTTCCACTTGTTACCACTAGTTTCCCACTAGTTCCCACTTGTTTCCACTAGTTCCCACTATTTCCCACTTGTTACCACTAGTTTCCCACTAGTTCCCACTAGTTTCCACTAGTTCCCACTAGAAATAAGAATGTCCCCACTAGTTCCCACATGAAATTTATATGTTCCCACTAGTTTCCACTAGAAATAAGTCTTTTCCCACTAGTTCCCACTAGAAATTTGTATGTTCCCGCTTCTTTCCCTCAAGTTCCCACTAGTTTCCACTAAAAATTTGTATGTTGCCACTATTTCCCATTAGAAATTTGTGTGTTTCCACTATAGTTTCTCACTAGTTCCCGCTTGAAATTTGTATGTTCCCACTAGTTTCCCACTAGTTCCCACTAGTAATTAGTATGTTCCCACTTGATTCCCACTAGTTCCCACTAGAAATAAGATTGTTTCCAATTGGAAATTTGTATGTTCCCAATAAATAGTTTCCCACTATTTCCCACTAGTAGTTTCCACAAGAAATAAGTAAGTTCCCACAAGATCCCCAGTAGAAATTTTTATGTTCCCACTAGTTTCCCACCAGTTCCAACTAGTTACCACTAGAAATAAGTATGTTTCCACTAGTTCCCACTAGAAATAAGTATGTTCCCATTAGTTCCCACTAGAAATTTGTATGTTCCCACTAGTTTCCCACTAGTTCCTACTAGTTCCTACTAGAAATTTGTATGTTCTCACTTGTGTGTGATGAGTAATTATGGGTAAGAAAGAGGGTTATGGATTCTATTAGATAAGAGCAATGAAAACAACAAGGTCTAAGAAACATTTGAAATCGTCGTCTTTGCTTCAAGTCACAACTTGCTATCGATCAATCATATTTAATACCAAGTAAGGTATAAGGTTTTATCTAAGCGTAATTAATTATTGGATTGCTTAGTTATACTCTTTCTTTAAACTTCATTCAGGATAAATTTAGTCCGGATTTGATCCGTATACATATTCATCAAACAGGACGGATTTCTCCGGAGCCCTATGCGTCCCTTCTCCGATATGGAATCAAGCCTTCAATGATCAACATTAATCCATTGGTACGGATACGTTCTTGCTCCTCCCTGGATTTAAACATTCATGGAATGGAGTTAATTTTATCATTCCAGTTATATTTTACTCTGGACGTAATTCTCCGTCCTTCATTTTAAACCTTATATATTGGATCTGGAGAGCATAACCAGAACCCATAACTCACAAAACAAACATAAGATAGAAAAGATGATACGGAATCCAAGAAATAAATTTGTTTAGAAATAGCCGAGAAACCTGGAAATTACACTCTTTACGAATGCATTTCCCATTAAAATAAATAATACACCCTGTGTATTTAAGTATTTAACTACTAAAGTATTTACAGCACCCTGTTTTTAACTATCCAAGTATAGATCTAAGATAAAGGACCAGAGTCTCATTAGAAAATCATAAGTCATTCTGTTAATATACAGATACTATCATTCACAGCAGTCAAACATACAAACATTATACAGACACATAACATACAAACATTATACAGACACATAACATACAAACATTATACAGACACATAACATACAAACATTATACAAACACATAATATACAAACATTATACAGACACATAATATACAAACATTATACAGACACATAACATACAAACATTATACAGAATCATAATATACAAACATTATACAGAAACATAACAAACATTATACAGACACATAACATACAAACATTAAACAGACACATAATATACAAACATAATACAGAAACATAACATACAATCATTATACAAACACATTATATACAAACATTATATAGAAACATAGCATACAAATATTATTTATGAACATAAAACGATTTTTATAAACACATCATACAAATAATTCTTAAGGAGTTTTTGTTTTCATAAAATTTATAATTTAGAATTAATTTTTTCTGTGAGAAATTTCGTTACTGCCTCCAGACACTCAGGGGACTGCCATCTTTCTTTCAATACCCTAATATTAAAATAGATCATGGTCATGTTCCTGTTCAACATCATGTTTATGGTCCTGTTCCTGTTCAACATCATGGTCATAGTAATGTTCCTGTTCAACTTCATGGTTGTGGTCATGTCCCTGTTCAACTTCATGGTCGTAGTCATGTTCCTGTTCAACTTCATGGTTATGGTCATGTTCCTGTTCCTGTTCAACTTCATGGTCATGGTCTTGTTCCTGTTCAACTTCATGTTTATGGTTATGTTCCTGTTCAATTTCATGATCATGGTCATGTTCCTGTTTAACTTTATGTTTATGGTCAAATTCCAGTTCCTGTTCAAATTCATGGTCATATTCATGTTCCTGTTCAACTTCATGGTCATGGTCATGTTCTTGTTCAACCTTATGGTCAAGGTAATGTTCTTGTTCAACTTCATGTTTATGGTCATGTCCCTGTTCAACTTTATGTTTATGGTCATGTTCCTGTTTAACTTCATGATTATGATCATGTTCCCGTTAATCTTCATGGTCATGGTCATGTTCCCGTTCAAACTTCATGGTTATGGTCATGTTCCTGTTCAACTTCATGCTTATGGTCATGTTCCTGTTTAATTTTATGTTTATGGTCATGTTTCCGTTAATTTTCATGGTCATGGTCATGTTCCTGTTCAAACTTCATGGTCAAGGTAATGTTCCTGTTTAACTTCATGTTTATGGTAATTTTCATGATCTTGGTCATGCTCCTGTTTAACTTCATGATCAAGGTCATGTTTCTGTTCAACTTAATGGCCGTAGTCATTACCTGATCAAGGCCATGGTCATGATCGTGATGATGGCCATGGTCATGATCATGATCATGATTTATGACAAGGTCTTGTTTTCAGTAATTGTCAAGGTTTTATTTATGCCTATTGTCATGGTCATAGTCATAATCATAATTATAGTCATGGTCAAGAAGCTGTTAATGTTCATAAAAATGTTGACTGTTATCATATTTTCAGTATGATTGTCGAGATTATGGTCATAATCATTTTTAGGTTCTTTGTCACGACCTTGACAATAGTCATTGTCAAGAAGCTGCTTATGTTCATGCCAATTGGCATGGTTATGGCAATAGTCTTTTTAAAATGATATTGGACATGGTCAAGAAGCTGTTTATGTTTATGAAAATGGTCATGAGCCTTGTAATAGTTATGTTTAATGGGTTGGTTATCTATATATATATATATATATACCTGCATTCCTCATCATTAACTTTTAATAAAGTCTGCTTGTCCCATCCTGTTAATCTCTTAGTCTCAAGGATGGAAGTCTTTAAATATATTAATTCATTTCAGATGAAAAAATCAAATAAAAATCTGCGTTAAATGGTTTTTATACCTGTTGCAACATTGTGAGATTCTCCGCTACCTTTAAAGCATACTGGAGAAGGTTCTCAGGTTCAAGAACTTGACTAATAATCCCTTGATCCTTAGCTTCATCAACCCCAACCTTATCCCCTAGATTAGAGAACTTGACTAATAATACCTTGATCCTTTGCTTCATTAACCCCAACCCTATCCCCTAGATCAGAGACCTTAAATAATAATCCCTTGATCCTTTGCTTCATCAACCCCAACCTTATCCCATAGATTAGAGAACTTGACTAATAATCCCTTGATCCTTTGCTTCATTAACCCCAACCCTATCCCCTAGATCAGAGACCTTAAATAATAATCCCTTGGTCCTTTGCTTCATCAACCCCGACCTTATCCCATAGATTAGAGAACTTGACTAATAATCCCTTGATCCTTTGCTTCATCAACCCCAACCTTATCCCCTAGATCAGAGACCTTGACTAATAATTCCTTGATCCTTTGCTTCATCAACCCCAACCATATCCCCTAGATCAGAGACCTTGACTAATAATCCCTTGATCCTTTGTCTGAAAACTTTCCTTAGGCTTTTATGTTCTGAGCTTTAGTGAAACCGTTGTTTAAAAAATCAATACAGTTAGCTATGACCCCTACTTTTCTCGTTAATAGAAATATAGAAATATAGAAGCAACATAGGTTCGTATTTTAGGACATAAAAATAATCTATTTCATAAAATCAGTTTAGCAATGTTGTTTCTTAGATGAAAGCAATAAGAGATATAATCTATGCTAGTAAAGCATAGATATGTATATCTATGTAGTTAAGAAATACCGACTCTCTATAAAAGAAGCTAGAATAACTTTGTTCTTCAGGGTGTCCCAAAAAACGGGTAGTAGAATTGTTGAGTCTTTTTATTTATTTAAATGTCTGAAAGTTATATACGGGGTTCAAACTAGGCCACAAAACACTAATCCCATTTTTTCTGGGACACCCTGCATATTCTTTATATAATGAAAATATTACCCAGCATTAAAATCTCTGTAGCTCTCGATGTTCCGAATATTCTAGGAAAAGTGAAGGTTGAACATCCTTCAGGAGTTTGACCCAACCTGGAGAATGGAGCATGAAAGGGACTGTATCCTGGAGAATGGAGCATTAAAGGGACTGTATGTAAAATAGAAGTAACCCTCACGGCAAAGATAGTAATCTCCGATTTACAATGGTAGTCTGAAAACCGTTGTCTGATCAAGTATGAAATAAAAAAAAATTTTTTTTGTTTTGTTTTTGAAAATTGTTTCTTTTCATTTCCGATTGCACTGCATAATTGACTTGGATTTTCTTGCTTATATGAAAGACTGGAGAAATGATCAGAATTAAACACTTCTTGAGTCAGAAAAACGACGCGTTTTTTCCACATTTTTAATCAGATTAAGGTTTCAGGGGTACTGTTGTAAGTCGGGCATTGCCATCTTTGCATGGAAAGTCACTTGAAATTTTGCTTACAGTCCCTTTAAACCTTACTCCGGGTACACAGAACACTAGAACAAAGAGCGGAAAAACCAACCTGGAGAACAGATCACTAAACCTTGATCCAGATACACAGAACACTAGATCAGTGGAAAACCCAACCTGGAGAAGGGAGCATTGAACTTTGCTCCGGGTACACAGAACACTAGATTAAAGTTCTGAAAAACCAACCTGGAGAATGGAGCATTAAACCTTGCTCCAGGTACACAGAACACTAGATTAAAGAGCTGAAAAACCAACCTGGAGAAGGAAGCATTAAACTTTTCTCCGGGTACACAGAACACTAGATCAAAGAGCTGAAAACCCAACCTGGAGAACGGAGCATTAAACCTTGCTCCGGGTACACAGAACACTAGATTAAAGATCTGAAAGACCAACCTGGAGAAGGGAGCATTAAACTTTGCTCCGTGTACACAGAACACCAGATCAAAGAGTGGAAGCAAGGTGAACATGATCCCAACCCCGTCCCCGTTCACGGCCGCGATGAGTATCTTTGAGCAGAGAACGATGGTTCGGACAAAGTCCTGGAGCATAATCCGTCCCTGCTCCGCCACCTGGTCAAGGCTTTGCCCGGAGGAGAGAGCAGTTCCAAAGTTGTTCAAATCATTCCCACTGGAGAACATGGAACCAGTTCCACTTAAAACAATAACCTAGAAAATTAAGGAATTGTCTAAAAGCAATTCTAGAAAACACATTCAATTTTAAGTGCCTGAAAGTGACTGTATGACGTAATTTCTAGTGGCCCGCCATCTGTGGCATGTCTGATTGACAACGGCGCCATTAAACAATCAAAAATAATCAACTTTCAAAACGAAGATGATTAATATTTCGTTCATTCTCGAGCAGACAAAGCTTTAAAGGGTACCGTTGTAAATCGGACCTGCCAATTTTTATTTCTTTTAATTGGGATTTACTTGAAATTACGTGTTCAGTCTCTTAAAGTGGATTTCTACATAACAAAGAAAAGCAGAAAAAGTAAAAGATTTAAGGCTCACACTAAAAGAAAAAAACACATTTACTCAGTCAACTTTTATAAGCAAATCATTTTTGAGTTTGATGGTGAATCGGATGCAGAGGATACAAAACATCTTCATATATCAATGGAGTCTTTGCCACAAAATCTATTTTTCTAATCACTATATCTTTGCATCCTGCTGGTGTAAACCTTTGATATTTCAAACTCAGATTATTTGATCTAACAAAATTCAAATATCTAAGGTCTACGACATTGGATTCCGAAGACTCAATTCCTGAAAGAAATGCACCTTTCTTAAAAAACTCTTATTCAAATTTTAATAATTTGATGCTTAATTTTTAAAATGGCAATTTTAGATTTCAAAAGAATTTGTTACCTTAATGTTGATATCACTATCAGCTGTAGCAATGGCTTTACCGATCATGGAATACATTTCAATGTCTACAGCATTCTTTTTTCTAGGACGGTTCAGCAGGATCAAACGGACACTTCCCTTATCCTTGATCAAAACCTAAATTAAATATATATCTAACCAAAAACTAAAGAAACTGAAGTAGATGCAATTTCAAGTAATCCTTCAAATATAGTGTGGTATTTCCAATTAACAACAGTACCCTTTGAAGATTTGTTTGATAAAGATCGGGATAGAAATATTAGAAAATCGACGATATCCTCCATATTACCAATCAGACAAAGGTTTGAAGATACCAGTGTGAATCAGACATGTCCATCTTTTCAAACACAGAATGCCGTCTACAGTCTCTTTATATCAAGCATACTAAAACTACGACGAGGTGGAAAATGAACAGAATTGAACTCAAAGAGAATAGAATATATATTAGAGTGGAATTTAAAGAATCCCTCGGTATGAATTTTTTCAGTCCCTTGCAGCCTGAAAGGGAGTTCAAAGTGTACAAATCATGTAAATGTTAACAAATTATATGCAGTAGAGTACATTAATACAGTATGTTCCCTAGACTATCCATTTCAATTTCGAATTTTTAAAGCTGTTAAATAAACTTTATAAAATGAATTAGGTGAATAAAAAACATCATTTGATTTATAGTTATAACGGAAAATCATCGATTGTAAAGTGAAAGGCATAGCGTCTATGTAAAATAGTCATTGGTCAATTATGAAACCAGTCTATTTCATAATTTGGTTTTCTTTTAATATTAATTTTAGATTTTCTATAAATTGATGTTCCAGGGCCCAAAGGGTTATATAGTAATTTCCATTTTTCAAAGGTTTAAAAATTTCCAAATGTTTAATAATTTCCAAATGTTTTATAATTTCCAAATATTTTATAATTTCCTAATGTTTTATATTTTCCAAATGTTTAATAATTTCCAAATGTTTTATGATTTTCAAATATTTTATAATTTCCAAATATTTAACCTTCTCCTCTGACATTATGTTTACTATTGAACAATATAGTTTGAACTAAACAATCTACAGAGATAACAGATTTTTCTTATTAAAGGGATCCTTCTCCAAGTTTTCTTATTAAAGGGTTCCTTCTCCAAGTTTTCTTGTTAAAGGGATCCTTCTCCAAGTTTTCTTATTAAAGGGATCCTTCTCCAAGTTTTCTTGTTAAAGGGATCCTTCTCCAAGTTTTCTTATTAAAGGGATCCTTCTCCAAGTTTTAAATATTAAATACGTGGATATTCCCATTCTGTATATTGTTCTTATTATTTTATCCGGGGAGGTTTTAAGTTTTTAAAGCTCTGAGCGTTTTTTCTATTGTTTTGGAAAACAAACCTCTTAGAAGAGTTCTCATCTAAAATCTATTGGGAGAGTTCTCATCTTAAACCTCTTGGGCGAGTTCTCATCTTAAACCTCTTGGGAGAGTACTCATCTTAAACTTTTTTGAAGAATTCTCATCTTAAACCTCTTGGGAGAGTTCTCATCTTAAACCTCTTGGGAGGGTTCTCATCTTAAACCTCTTGGGAGAGTTCTCATCTTAACTCTCTTGGGAGAATTCTTATCTTAAACCTCTTGGGAGAATTCTCATCTTAAACCTCTTGGGAGAGTTCTCATCTTAAACCTCTTGGGAGAGTTCTCATCTTAAACTCAGAAACCTCTTCTGAGAACCCGCCCCCCGGAGAACTCAGTGTGAAGCCAGGAAGTCTAGGTAGAAAAGAAGAAGTAATTTAAAGAACTAATAAGATATCGAAAAATACAAAGTACAGAAGAAAAATGGGGGAAAGTTGATATTTAGTCCAAATAAAAAATGAAATAATTAAAATAAAATGAATCTTCTGTTTATATATACATGAGTGTTGATGATATATGAGTGTGCAAGCGCGGTGTGTGTGTGCGTTCCTAAAAATTTTAATACCAATAAAAAACTTTGAAATTTTTCATTCCAAACTTTTCAATTGAAATAACAGAGATAAAACTTTTTTCAATGTTTGTTTGTTTGAAACTTTTAGAAAAAAAGTATCTAGGATTTAAAGTGTTTGTTCACAACTTTGAGCAACTTGGAATTAGCGGGGTGGATCACATTTTTTAGAAAGTTGATTCTATTTCTAAGGGCTTTAGTTTTAGGAATGGGTCACGTATTATTTTTATATGGATACGTAGCCCGACAAATTCTTTCTTTTTAAGATTAAAAGAAACGACTACACGTTTTTACCAGTTTAAAAGTATTGTTGGGAATCGGGAAGGATCTCTTTTAATGGGAGTATTACGTGAAATTAAGTCGAGAGTCCCTGTAAAGATATATTTAAACAATTTATTTTTAAATAAAAATTAAATTTTTTTTTTCTTATCTGATCATATTCATCTGTTTTCTGTTCTTCTCTTTTAGATCTACGCATTCTAATCTCTTGTAGAAAAGGAGAAATAAATATAAGATAAGAAATTAGTTTTGACTTTGTATAGATTAATATATCCCATGTAAAAATATGTTCCTGTCTAGTATGATTAATTTTGCGTTGTTAGCTAATGAAATTTTTCTCCATTTTGTAGATTTTTAGTTGAATATTCATGCAAATTACAGGCTGTCTTCTCCTTCAGTTGATTTATATTCAAACCCAGTCCTAGGCTGCACTCACGCTAAACTAAACATTGATTTCGTTTGATACTAGTTTACCAACTGTACTTTGCACCTCCAGGTTATAATTGATGAATATATAATGACAGTGCTATTTTTTCATTAAGTATTAGATAATTTTAAAACTTTGCAATTATTTTAATTAACTGAAATGTGATTAAGTGGTCGTGAGACGGGGATTTAATTTTGCTAATTCAAATCCACAAGGTATCCCCTCTATCCTTCTCCTCTACTCCCTCCATCCTTCTCCTATATCATCTCCATCCTACTCCTATACCCTCTCCATCCTTCTCATATTCCATCTTCATCCTTCTCCTATACCCTCTCCATCCTTCTCCTATACTCTCAATATCATTCTCCTATACCCTCTCCATCCTTTTCCTATACCCTCTCAATCCTTCTCCTGTACCCTCTCCATCCTTCTCCTATACCATCTCCATCCTTCTCCTATACCCTCAATATCCTTCTCCTATACCCTCTCCATCCTTCTCCTGTACCATCTTCATCCTTCTCCTATACCCTCTCCATCCTTCTCCTATACCCTCTCCATCCTTCTCCTATACCCTCAATATCCTTCTCCTATACCATCTTCATCCTTCTCCTATACCCTCCCCATCCTTCTCCTATACCCTCTCCATCCTTTTCCTATACCCTCTCCATCCTTCTCCTATACCATCTTCATCCTTCTCCTATACCCTCTCCATCTTTTTCCACTACCACCTTCATCCTTCTCCTATACCCTCTCCATCCTTCTCCTATACCCTCTTCATTCTGCAGCGACTCTAGTAGATAAATAGAATAAGGAGTAAAGCTTGACTTAAAGATTGATGATATCATTTGCGCGTCCAAGATCAAGAAGAGATTAAATATTTATGTATGGATTAAATTAGAGTGTTTGAAGCACAAAAAAGTAAAGATCTAGATTTCAAAACTGCAATTTCTCCGGATAGGTTTGATTATAGACAGGGTTGGGTTGGAATGACTTGCATTTCTCCGGGTTGGAATATTTTCCCTTAATTGAGGTTCAAGAAGCAAGTTTAGTTACTCCTGGGGCAATGAAGGTATAGGGTTTACAGGAATCAGATGGATCAAACCTGATGCAGGCACGCGACTTCATTTAGGTAGTTCCAAACGTAAAGGGGTTTTACATGTTGGGGGGNGGGGGGGGGGAGGGAGGTCTTCCACCTTAAAATGTTGGCTTACTGTCCCCTATTTAGAATTGGAAACGTCCTAAAAGGCTACATTTTTAAATATCTCTAAATAAACCCACACCATGCATTTCTACTTTAAAATTTTTGATGTAAAAACGAAAAAAATGTAATCTATGGACTGTAGTCGTAATTTTAAGTGTGTTAGGTACTTTCCCAAAGATATTTATCCAAGAGCGACTTCCGAAGTGACAATTTCCCAAGCGGTAACTTCCCAAAGGTTAGGTTAGGCCCTCTGAGGCGCAGCAGGCTGCAATGTGAGCCGAGCACTGCGGATAGGATGGGCTGGGGGACCAAGCGCTGCAGCCAGAACAGGCTGAGGTTGAGAACTACGGCTAGGATACACTTGGGAAGTTACCGCATGGGAAATTGCACATTTGGAAAGTTGCCACATGGGAAAATACCCTTGGAAAGTTGCCCCTTGGGAAACATCCTTTGGGACCCTCGTTTGAAAGAAGGACATTCCTCATTCACAACAGAACGCTTGAACCTTAATCTGAGTAATAATTTGGAAGATTACGTCGTTTTTCTACCTGGAAAAGTGTTCAAGTTAATTTTATAAAGAACCCACGGTGAATATTTTCAAAAGGAAAATACATGAATATCTGATTCATTCTTGATCAAAAAAGGCTTTTAAGGGTACTATCGTAAATCTGACATACCACCACTATATCAATGGCAGGTCGCTTGAAATTACGTTTATTGTCCTTTTAAATCCTTTGAAATCCCTTTAAATCCCTTTAAATCCCTCTAAGTCCCTTTAAATCTTTCTAAATCCATTTAAAGATCTAACAAAACCCAGACGAAAAGAAAGTGTTGATTGTTAATAATAGTTTATATTTTTCAGATTGAAATCTGAGCTGGTGTTGGTCTGTATTGAATGGATTTATGAGAATAGATATCTAGTAGAAGATGGTATCAAGTTGATCGGAATGGTGGCATTAGACCTCATAAACATTCTTTATGAAGGTAGAACACGACTTTTTCCCGGCATTATCACTCACTTATCTCCCGCCATTTTATCTCTACACGCGAGAACGGGAAATGCGCCAAAAATCCGCGGTCAAGGAAATCTTGTCTTTTTGCAAATGGCGGATTAATTAGTGACAATTTTTTCATTATTGTCACATTTACCTCATTTATTTCCAGATTGGATTTATTTCTTGTCTCATGGGTTTGACAGGAAGAGAGAGAGGAAACATGTGAAATAATTGGAGAAGGATGGAGAGGAATAGCTAAGGAGCCAACTGTAGATGTCGCTAAGATTATACATACAGTGTTTGGATCCATCCAACCCTTTCTTGCTCACTATACTGTACACAACTTAATCCAGAGCAATCTGTCAATCTCAATTCTTGACAATTTAACAAACGTCGAATATGCGTGATGGCGCATTTTTCTGACAAAGCTGACAAGTTATAATAAAGGTATACAAATATGAATTGATTCTTTGCCATAAACTCTGCTTTTCTAATCTCTTTATCTTTGCAACTCAATGTCGTTGACTAATTAGATATTTTAAGCATTGAAATTCTGTTAGATCAAATAATCTAAGTTTGAAAGATCAAAGATTTAAACACCATCAGGTTGCAAAAAAATATATGGATTAGAAAATCCGAGTGTGTGGCAAAGACACAACTTCTCTGAGGATAAGATTAAGATTTCAAAGATACCGCTGTGAATCGGACATTGCCATCTTTGCACAAAGGGTCACTGAAAATTACGCTCACAGTCCTTTTAATTCATGAAACACTAACAATATTTCATGTAATCTGTGGGCTGCTGGACCAGCGGCATGCTGTGGGCTGCTGGACCAGCGGCATGCTCGGATAAACTATGTAAAAAGGTCGGAAAATTATCCAGTAGAATTCATCTTAACCAGAGAAATTTAAAATTCAATGAGTAAATTTTTCGTATTTCTACTGAACATGATAATAGTAGAAAAAAGTGAATTGTGTATTTCTGGAAATATATTGCGGTATTTATTAGTAAATCTATTTTTAAAAGAAAATTATTTGAAACAACAATTATAAATATCCAGTAGTCATGATAATTTCCAGATGCGCAATGGGGGGGGGGGGGGCGCCCTAGGGAATGAAAGGAAAGAATGGTGAATATCAGTATCACAGGAACAAGAAAACAAAAGAGTTATTGTATAAATTATA